TCAACAAGAAAGAGCAAACTACTCACACGGTGGTGTAACAAGCCCTCCACATGATTCGGGTGCCTACTCAAGCTTGAGACTCGGTAGTCTGGATCAGAGGTGCTCTTACTGACCAGAGTGGCCTTTTTCTCCCTTGCTTATTGGCCATCCAGTGGCCACCACATTTGAAGGACCACCACCACCACCACCACCACCACCACCACCACCACCACCACCACCGACAAACCAAAGTACCACCCCTTCCTACCCTCCCAACTACAAAGTCTAAGGGGGAGTAGTGTCTCCACTGTTAGCCAGTATGAGATTCCGGCTCAGCATCCAATAAGATTTAGAAAGAAAGGAATAAAGATGAGAGAGAGGCAGGATTCCAACTCAGCAGCTGCAGCCCTGCCCGCCTCCTAGCTGTTCCACTGGCTCAGGATCTGACTCAGGGCCCATGCTCCCCAACATTACCATCTGGAACCCAACTCCAGCGCCGTGAATGCTCCCATCCCCTGAGACACCTGTCCGTTCCTTTGCTTTACATGGGGCAGAACTTCTCTGTCTCCCTTGATAGCTAGGGGCCACATACTGCTTTGATCCCCATGAGCACTGGACACGTGCTACAAAAGACAAAGAACACAGGCTTTCCAGTAGGAGGGACTTGGGAAGGAAGGGTCCGAGGGCACAGGGAGTTCAAGTGACTCACCAGCCCCCTAGCTACCCATCAGTCAGAAGCCACACCTTAAAGGAACTGTCAGGTACAGCAGCGAAGCCCTTCAGCTCCTCCTGCTGCCAGCATGCTAGAGGGCTCTCCACTCAATAAGCCATCGCTCCTGTGGCTTCAATTTGCTCAGCAAATGCTGCCCAAGAATGTCTCTTCTCCCCGTTAAAACTTGCCCTGACATCCAAGATGAGAAGTAAGACGTAAATCAGATCAGGATGGACGGGGAGGAGAAAATACCAATTGCCTGAAATGACCAAGTAATTCTCAGGGAAGCTGCACTGGCCAGTGGGGGGAGGCTCACCAGAATGGTCAAGTGGGAGTGGGTCACATGTGCACAGTGACTACCTGATGGTCTCGGGGGAAGACACTGGCACCGTTCAGGCTCTTAATCAACATGTGATAAGCCAAGTCAAGCTGGAGGTCTGAAATGGGAGAGAGCAGCAGGGAACCTCTAGGTAGCCAGGTGAGTCAGCCAAGAACCAGCTGTTGTGGGGAATCACGATTCCCAAGGGTTCACTGGTCAGTTTTTTCTCTCAAGGTGAATATAACTTGCTTTTCTTTCCCTGAATGTTCTTTATTATTGTTGTTAAGTGCCGTCAAGTCAGTTCCAAGCCATAGCGACCCTGTATAAAGTTTCTGAGGAGAGGCTGGTGAGCTTGACCTGCCGACCCTGTGGTTCAAATCAACTTTGCAGTCCAGCACATTAACCCATAGATCAAGTGTGAAAGTGGAGACAATATTTTTATTACAGGGAACTTGCTCTTGGCTTTCTTTGGGTCCATGGAGGAAGATAAAACATATAAAATCAATCAGTCCCCATCTGACCACTTCCTGCCTCGTTCCATAAGCGCTAGAGGGTTCCCATGGCCAACCCCATCACAACACGTCACAAAACTGATTCAAACCAACCAGACATTCCAGTGCCCTTGCCAGTGACTAAGGCAGGCCGACGTATCTCAAATTGAGCAGGCATCTCCAATGTTCAACACAGCACTATTCATGAAAGCAAAAAGTGGAAACAACCCACCAATGATGAATGTTGTTGTTACGTGCCATTGAGTCGGTTCTGACCCATAGGGACCCTGTATAGGGTTTCCAAGGAGTGGCTTGTTGAGCTTGAACCGCCGACCTTGCAGTTCATGTGACTTTGCAGGCTGGTGCATTAACCCACAGCGCCACACCAGGACTCCTACTGGATGAATGGACAAACAAAATACGGTATATCCAAATAACAAATGTTGTTAAATTGCCATCAAGTCAGTCCAATTCATGGTGACCTGATGCACAGCAAACCAACACGCTGCTCAGTCCTGCATTATCCCCACAGCCAGATGGGACTACCACGACCCAGAGGGATTTTATAGGTTATCTCAGTTGGGAAACTCCACTGAACCTCGTAGCAGCACACACACCACCACTGAAAGAGAGTCATAGCTGCCCATCAGATGCACTGGGCTGTAAAGAATTCTACCAGTGACCCCTGGTATGTGCACAGGATGGCTATTCTTCAACCATAGAGAGAAATGAAGTTCTGACACCTTGTGTGGTCAGGATGAACCTTGTAAACATCATGCTGAGAGAAAGAAGCCAGGCACAAAAGGATAAATATTGTGTGCCGGGTCGCACTTACACCAGTGAAATGCTCAGAGACAAAAGTAGATTCGAGGTTACCAGGGATGGGGTGGGAGAGGGAAGGGAGGGAGAGAATGGAAAGCTATTTATTGCTTAATGGATACTGAGTTTCCATTTGCTGTGCCATTGCATCGGTTCTGACTCAGAGCAATCCTGTGTAGGGTTTCAGAGAAGCAGCTGGTGAATTTGAACCGCTGACTTTTCAGTTCAAACTGACCTTGCAGCCTAGTGCATGGTCCTACAGTGCTGTCTGGGGTGACAAAAAAGTTTTGGAGATAAATACTGGTGATGGTAGAACAACCCTGTGAATATAACTAATGCTACAAAACTGTATGATTCAACTGGCAAAATGAGTTAATCCCAATTAATAAAGAGAAAAACTCTGAACCGGAAGGGCTGCTAAAACAAGACTGCAGGGCCCCTCAGCGTTCCTGCTGAGCAGATGTGGCGAACAGCTCGAGACACTTTGCATTTCAGACAAGAGCTTCATTCAGTGTTGCTGGCCCGGGGGTCACAATTCAGGAGCCACAGACCCACAGCAGTCAGTAAGAGGAGACGTACACCAGTGCCAAGGGATTCTGGGATACAGAAAACGGCCTCGTCCTCCTCGGGACCAGGTAGGATGGACATGCTCTACATATACACTGTCCAATATGGCAACCACCAGCCACAGGTGGCTAAGAAACTACAAGTTTTCATTTTCTTTATCATGAATCTACACTGAAACGGCCAGCCGGCCATCTGTGACTGGTGTGGACCATACTTGGACATCGCAGCTCTGAACATCTTCCAGTGTGGCCACAACAACTGGAACTGGTGGTACAAGGCACTGCACCATGGGCCTGAGCTTCAGTTGGTGGGTCCCTAAGCCTGTTCCAGGGTATGCAAAGGTACAGCCACAAAAGGGTCCCTTTCTATTCATGCTTATAACTCCACCATTAGCAATCATTGCTGTGGGTTAAGCCATACTTCTCTCTGGAAACTCCTTTTTTAAAATGCAAGTGTGAATGAGAGGTCCAGATATTGTTAGATCATTGTTTCTTATTCCCCAATGGTAGATGAAGTCCAAGAAGGCAAGGCATTATTAGAGAGGCAAGAGAGGTTCATACCACAAAAGTCCCACCTTATTCCTGTGCTTACCGGACTGCCCACCCCTTTGTACTTCCTGAGTGGGGTCAGTCCAATGTTCAACATTCCAAAAATTCCAACATTTCATGAATGTGCCTTAAGGCACCCAAAGCAGACAGAACAAAGTAATATCTGAACATCAAGAACTCTGAAGAGTCCTCCCTGGTCTGTACACAGGATGAAGGGTCCTGCAGGTGCTTACACCCATCTCTCTTGTTATAATATTTATTCAATTGTTTTCCCCCATAGAACTGAAGATCCATAAGCCATGGGTCCTGTCTGCATGGGCCCTTATAGCACCATTAGCTTAGTGGTTACAAATCAGGCTGGGAACCGCAAGGTCAGCAGTTCAAAACTACCAGCTGTTCCGCGGGAGAAAGATGAGGCTTTTTGCTCCCGTAAAGATTTATGGAAAGCCTGTACAGAGTCACTATGAGTTGAAACCGACTCCACGGCACATAACAACAAACATTGGCTAGTTCTAGAATCTCAGGAATGGAATTTCCCCCCCTCCCCCTCTGGTGTCAATTCCCCATCTGTCCACAAAGTTGGGGGGGGGGGGGGTTGTTGTTTCTGTTAAGTGCTGTCGAGTCAGTTCTGACCCATGGTGACCCTGTATAAGGTTTGTGACTGCTGAGTTGGAACCTCCTATCTTGTGGTTCAAACCGACTTTGCAGTCCAGTGCATTAACCCACAGCGTCACACCAGGGCTCCACACAGGGGACGGGGCGGCGGGGGGAGGGGGGAATTGGACCAAGATGACCTCTGAGAGCCCTTTTGATGCAGAAATGTCAGGCTCACCACTGAAAATCTATCCATAAGGGTTCAACCAGGAAAAGACAATCCACACAAGGGATATGAAACACCCACTGCTGTTGGATGACTAACTCATGGAGACCCACGTGTGTCTGAGTAAAACTGTGCTCCACAGGGTTTTCAGTGGCTGAGTTCTCAGAACTCTGAGGTACCCGTGGATAGATTTGCACCTACAACCTTTCAGCCAGTCAAGTATGTGAGCCATCTGTACTACTGTGGGACTCCTGGGATGTTCAGTATTGGGGACTTAACACAGGAAATTGGTCACAGGGATGTGAGAAGATTGAGAGACTTTTGTCGCCCTCCTGACAGTTTCCAGAGACATAACCAGACCTCACTCAGCGTTCAGAGAGACATGTCCAACTCCGCACGGCAGCACACTGCCTTGTGGGTGGTGTCTGCTTACAGCATCTCAAAAGGAGTGAGTCTCGGGGACAGTGGTCACGGGAGTTCCTCCAAGGCCTCTGAGGGGAGGGGAGGGTGACTGGCTCACTGGGCAGTCCTGTGCCATGAGGTATGGAGGTGACAAAACATGTACCTCCTCTGACATCAGAGCCAGGCTCTGTCCTCCTCCATTAAGACAGCTGAAGTGAGAGGTGTGACTGGAACCAACACAAGAAGATCCCATCAATCATCTGACAAATCAGGGCCACCATCCCCCTCAGACACTCCAGGCTGCTCCGGCTCACAGGGAGGGCACCTGGGACGGGGTACTCACCCACACTGCTGAGGGAACCACTGCTCTCGGAGTCTGAGGGCATGATGGACAGGACACTGTAGGTGGAGCCTGGGGACAGAAGGGAAACCATGTGTTACTAACTCCAAAGCAACCACTCATCTGTCCTCAGTCAGTGCTGGGCCATGGGAACCAGAACTCCAGACTCAAGAGGCCGGGCCAGAGAAGGGGTGAGCAGCAAGGGCTTGCTGCTTCAGCTTGGCCCTCTGCTTCTCTGGTCCAGCAAGCCCTGCTCTGGAAGACTGACCACCAGGAAGAGGCGGAACTTGGAGCCAGGCAGCTGGCTCTTTGTTGAAAGATCTACAGAAAGCTTAGGAAGGGGTAACCAGCCCAGGTTAGAATGGGGCCAAGGAATAACTTGCCCAGGTTAGAATAGGGCTGAGGGATAACCTGCCCAGGTTAAAATAGGGCCGACGGATAACCTGCCCAGGTTAGAATAGGGCTAACAGCTAACCAGCCCAGGTTAGAATAGGGCCGACAGCTAACCAGCCCAGGTTAGAATAGGGCCGACAGCTAACCAGCCCAGGTTAGAATAGGGCCGAGGGGTAACCTGCCCCAGATTAGAATAGGGCCGTGGGATAACCTGCCCAGGTTAGAATAGGAGGGAGGGGTAACCTGCCCAGGTTAGAATAGGACGGAGGGGTAACCTGCCCAGGTTAGAATAGTGCCGAGGGGTAACCAGCCCAGGTTAGAATAGGGCCGAGGGGTAACCTGCCCAGGTTAGAATGGGGCCAAGGGGTAACCAGCCCAGGTTAGAATAGGGCTGAGGGGTAACCAGCCCAGGTTAGAATGGGATGGAGCACTGGACTGCAAAGTCAGTTGGGTGGCTCTGGCTTCCAAGCAGACGGCAGCCAGGCATAGATGAAACATCAACAAAATGACTAGATCTTGTGCCTGACTATCCAACATCTATGTCCTAACTGTAGTCAAGCCCAGGCCTTCGTCATTAGCCAGTGTCCGCCCTGCTATTAAAGTCACCCATGAAATTATGACCTATTACGCTGTCACCTAAGCTAGGGAAAAGTGTATGCTATATATTCTTTTTTTCTTTTCTTTTCTTTTCTTTTCTTTGTTGGCCATCACTTAATATTGTTAAGTCCTGGCCTGTGGACATACAAGCACCACAGTTTGGTTTGGATTAAAATATTTTCAAAGTCAGATGTTACTTGCTGGCATCAGGAACAACCTCAGGTAGGAAGCCCAGTTCCTCGCGTATGAGTCACTGGGTCATGCTAAGCAAGCGCCTTCATTTTCTGGCTCTTTGTTTCTTGGTCTAGAGAATGAAAGAGGCTCAACCCTAGGGAAGGCTCTGCTGGTCCCCAAGGTCACAGACCACCAAGGCACCTTCCCCACTTAGCACCCTACCCCACCCAGTACTCAAATGACTACAGCACCCAAATCCCAATCTCCACATGTTTATCAGACACCTGACACGTGTCCAGAGCCCTGCAACAAGGCACTAGGCCAACTCTGGTAGAAATGGGACAAGTCAGGGCCTGTGACACGTTAGGAAGTCCCCTCTCTCTTTGTGCCTGTCCAATGAGGCAGAACAGGAACACTGGAGCCAGCTGGACTAGGCTCGTCTTGCAAATCCACTTCTTATTGTCCCTTAAGTCACTTGTCCTCTGTGTGCCTGTTGGCTTATTTGTAAAACAGGAGAACAGTGGAACCTGCCTTGGAGAGATGTAGTGAGGATCAACTAACATTATCAGAGGAGAGCCTGCAACCGCGTTTGGTCCCACCAGCACGCAGAGTGTGGGCTGCTGGTATCATCATCACACCAGACCACACTGACGACTCCTCTGCCGTTTTTGATCCTCTGGTAGCGTAGTGGTTACGAATCGGGCTGCGAACCTTAAGGTCAGCGGTTCGAAACTACCAGCGCGCTCCACGGGAGAAAGATGAGGCTTTCTACTCCCGTAAAGATTTACACCCTCGGAAACCCTGTACAGGGTCGCTATGGGTCGGAACCGACTCGACGGCACTTAACAACAACAACAACTACCTACAGGGATAGAGCAATGAAGGCAAAAGGCCCACAGATGACTTAATAATGACAGCAGGTCCTGGTGTGGCACTGCAGGGCAATCACTAGACTGCTAACCTAGTGTTTGGTCAGTGGGTCAAACCCACCTTGCTGAAAATCATGGTAGAGCTAACACGAGGGCAACAGGTAGTCTATCCTATAGCCTGTGCGCTCAACTGCTGTATGCACTCCTGCCACCCGGCTCTCAAGGTGCAAGAGTATCAGGAAAGACTTCATGGAGGAAGAGGCCAGAGCAGACCTGGAGGATGGTGCTTGGAGAAACACAAGAGAACTCAGCTATGTGGTCTCTCAGCTCTCCTTCCCTCGCTAAGATATCTAACTGGGATTCTGAGTGGAGCCAGGAATCAGGAGTAACACTGAGGAGAGAGGAAGGAAGGATGATGGCTTTGTGGTACAACAAAGATGCGAGAGACAAAAGCAGACACAGACGAAAATTCTTGCACCCTGAACTTCAAAAGAAAGGTTGCAGGGGTGGATGGAGTGCTCGCTGGGAGAGTTAAGAATGGCTGGTAAACAGCTGGCCAGATGCTGCTCAAACATCTTGCGAGCAGCTTTGGCAGTAGAGGGAGGCCTGGCAGAGCAGATTCACGGGGGCAAACAGAAAAGGTGCAATGTCTTCTTTTTCCCTACACTTCCCTGGTGACCAAAAGTGGGGCCAGCTCGCACCCTCATCCACTCCCACTGTAGGCCCTGCTCTCCAAGAGTTCAGGACCATGTCAGCGTGAGGTGGGGCTGCCAGCAGCGCTTGGTGTGCCGCTTTAGTGCGTGGATTACGGTGGGCTCAGCTCCAGACCTACAAAACCAAAAGAGCCACCAGACCAGAATTTAACCAACCACCCTGCCCCCAGTGCCCTAAAAGATACTGAAACTAACTCCATCAAGGGCCCCCCCAAACTACTTCTGTATTGAGTGCCCTGAACATAGATAACACTAAGGTCAATAAGAGGTCGAACTAGGACCAGGAAGTCTGCTGTCACATCCTTGCCACAACCACCTCGTGGGCTCCTTGAACTGCAGGAGTGCCCGCCCCAAAGATTTCTCTACTCCGGGTCCAATTAACAACTATGTTTGCTTTTACAAATACAACTTCACAATGGAAACCAGAATTAGTGAGCTTGAAGAAAAATCTCTCAATACTAGCATGCTAGAAGAACAATCCGAAAAAAAGAATGAAAAAATTCAAAGAGAGTTATGTGGGACACCATGAAGAGGAACAATTTATGGGTAATTGAGTTCCAGAACAGAAAGACACAATCACAGAGAAAACTGCCAAAAATTCGTTGGAAGAAAACTTCCCTACCATCATGAAAAATGAAAAGAAGCTGAGCGAACCCCAAACAGGAGAGATCCCAAAAGAAAATCACTATAACATATCATTATCAAACTTGTCAAAATCAAGGACACAGAAAGACTCCTGAGAACAGCTTGGGGAAAATGAAAAGTTACCTAAAAAGGAGAACCAGTAAGACTAAGCTTGGATTTCTCAGCAGAAACTATGGCAGCAAGAAGGGTATGGACTGAAATACACAAAACTCGTGACACCAGCATCCCAGCCACATGCAAGTCACTACAGTAGGAAAACTGATAAAGTGGTGGCAGAGAAAAGCTGACACTAATTCTACTCAAACTACCACAGAATATAGAAAAAGAAGGAATCAAACATCTCAGAAAGTAGAAAAGAAGAAATCAGCCTTAACGCTGGCTTGTTAGCTGCAAGGTTAGCAGTTCAAACCTACCAGGAGCTCCTCAGCTCCCTATACAAGGTGGCTATGAGTGGGAACCAACTCACTGGCAATTAACAACAACAACAGCAATTATATGAAGCCAACATCACCTTGATACAAATGACAGGCAAACATACCATAATATCATAGATCAATATCTTTTATGATTACTGTCTAGACGGGACTGGTGAAAGGAGATGGGGATAAGATTCTTGTGATTCACTAGTGAGTAACTGTTATCATAACTAATTGAGACTGTCACACTGTAAAGGTAGAAGTTTTGTAAACAAAAAAGCAGGAGTAGTTAATCTTACTGCCCAGGAACAGAGAACCCTGGGACCATCAAGGGAGAAGAGCACGAGTGGAATGTGGGACCCTCTCCAGAGAAGCAGGGACACCAGAGATGGAGGCAGAGATGAGGATATGGACAGAGAAAGAACAGCTGAGGTTCTAGACTCATGAAAAGAGAAAGGCCAGGATGTGCCCTTAGGTTGTTTAAATTATTATATATTCCTAAGTGTTTCTGTGAACAGCCCCCCACCCAAAAAAATATATATATATATAATCACTGCAGTGAAACAATGAGTGTAAAACTGATGCTCCCCCATGTAAAAAAATAATAATAATAATACAGAAGTAAATACATAAATAAAAGCTCATGACAAAAAAAGATTGCCACTTGGCTGACTTTTGAACCTTGGGTTTCCAAGCATTATAATATAAAACAGTCACTGGAGGAAACGGAATAGCCAGAAATATCACCATAGAAAGCTTGTAAGTCCGTCTTCTGCCTATAACCAATTGGAATACCTAAAGTAGGGCTACAATGTATCTAGTGAAGGAGACCTCATGAGGAGCCCCTGCATTACATAAGACATATAGAAGAAAGCCTGAACCACATCCAGACCATCAGAGAAGGGAAACTTTGCTCTTGAAAGGACAAGCAGACCAGCCTGGAACAGCCAGAAGATACTTCTTGAAAGAAGGACCTACAGGAAAAACACAGAACAAGAAGAGCAGTCCGACTGTAACCACAAGAACAAGCAAGCTGTCTGCCCAGGAGACACCAAGGCAGGTGGTTGGGTCCTTTCAGTGCAAATCCTCCTCCAAGACTTAGACACAAGAAGAAAATGCGTTCTGATTGGCGATCACCCACGTCACCCATAAAGAGAAGTGACCAAAGAACATCAAAGAAGTAATGAGCTAAGCCCTGCATCGTTCAGCAGACTATGGTAGCCCGGGTGGAGACCTGGTCGGCCAGCAGTGAGGCAAGACCTGGG